TTCCTTCCTTCCTTCCTTCCTTCCTTCCTTCCTTCCTTCCTTCCTTCCTTCCTTCCTTCTTTCCTTCCTTCCTTCCTTCCTTCCTTCCTTCCTTCCTTTCCCTTCTCATCTCCTTTCTTCCTTCCCCTTCCCATCTCCTTCCTTCCTTCCTTCCTTCTCTTCTTATTCCTCCCTTCATTCTCCTTTCTTCTTCCTTCCCTTCTTTTCTTATTTTCCCTTCCTCGCTCTCTTCCCTTCTTTTTCTTTCTCTTTCCTCTTCCCCCTTCTCCTTTCCCATCCCTTCTTGCATGCTCAAATGCAAAAGTGGAAGAAACATTTCTCCTTTTGTTTTTAGTTTGTTTTGATAACCCTCTGCCAGCAAAAACGGAGCCCGCACCTGCCCCCCCCCTAAGCTCCGTTTTCAGTGGTGGATGGTTGCAGGAGGCCGTCATGGCTGAAAATGGGGTGCAGGGGGCCTCATGTGGCCTCCCGAGCTCCAGTTTAGCTGGCAGAGGCACCGCAGGCTGCACCTTTGCTGCTTCCAGGCTGGCCCTGTGGACCAGAGCTAAGCACCCTGTGGGCTGGATTTGGCCCACAGGCCTTGAGTTTGAGACCCCTGTTGTAGTTGCTCCATCCCTGGAGGTTTCCAAGAGTTCATTTGTTACTTGCCAGGAGCGAGATTGAAATCCTCTTTTTTAAAAGAGAGTTTTATTAAGGTTTATCACAAGGTAAAATACAAAGAGAGGCAGAAGTTAAGAAAGGATAACAAAAGGTAAAGGTGCAATGAGAAAGAACCAAGTTTTGACTTTTTTCAGTGCAGGGAAAGTTACGACCTTTCGGCTTTCAACATCTAGTACATTCAAACCAGTTCGTATAACAGCCAAGTCAATCTAATTGTCAAAACCTCAAGAAAGTCGGGGAAAACCCCTCATGCATCTCGGCTTTCTGCTCTTGCTTGACAAGACAATCTCCCTAGACAGGGTTTAAGCCAGGAAGAAGCCAGGATGCGGCCTTCCCCTCCCCAAAGCGCCTGGTTTCCCTACCAGAGACTGTACCATCCATCTTCCTTTCTCCCTGCCGTGCACCCTTCTTTTTCCTGAGCCGTCCCTGTAGCGGGGGTCTGTGTAGGGGACCCCGTGCTGCGGACGGGGAAGCCGCTCTCCGTGGTCCTTGGGCCTGGGATCATGGGCTCCATCTTTGACGGGATCCAGCGTCCACTGAAGGACATCACCGAGCTTACCAAAAGTATCTACATTCCCCGGGGGATCAACATTTCTGCTTTATCCAAGGACCTGAAGTGGGATTTTAAGCCGAGTTCCAACATCCGGGTAAGAGACAAACAGCCGTGCAGGGAAAGGGGGATTTGGGGTCTTCCATCCATGTTGGGCTCAGACAAGGGGTGGGTTTCAACCGGTTCACGGCGGTCCCTGCGAACCGGTTGGTCGCCGAACCCGGAAGTAAGTAACTTCCGGGAACGGCGAAGGGCGCACCCGCCCGCCCACAGTCCTTACTTGGTTTTGACGAGTTCTGCGCTTCCACGCATGTGCAGGACGCATACAGCGCCCGCG